AAATATCAGGTCTGTCCCTAAAATGTCATGTCCCGTAGACTTCAGGCATGTCCTGCGCTGAATAATTTCTGGAATAATTTGCTTGATATATATCAGAGGGGAGAGGACGGAGGCAGGGCGGTAGATTGATGCAGCACTGTTTCGGGCTTGTTTGTCTTAATTCAGTCAATCATAACCCTGACGACCAGCTGGGGCCGGAAAGACAAATAGGCGCACAGACACATGTGGCGCAGCTGGTCCTTTACCAGGGCATACCAGATGGGATATACAGTACATATTTGAATTCGGAAACAGGCATCCAAAGCATTATAATTCGGAAAAAATCAGTTTTTTGGGAAAGAGTAAAAGTTTTATTGTAACTTTTCCACTTTGGTCTCCAAGTCGTTCTCAGACGTGATGTAAGTGTGCAAAGCAAATACTGTTTAAATATGCCTAAAAATCGATTTTGCTTTATCACTCCTGCTGGCGTAATGTTCTAATTGGCCAATAGTTTTTCTACTTTTCCTTGAGATTGTTATACACAGCATCCAATTCAACGTGTCGGTTGATGCATTAGTCATCAAAGTCTAAACTCATTTACTTCACGTTATGATTGCTGTTCATAAGTTGCTTTTCATCTGACATTTCGTTGTTGTAACTCGATCTATATTAATGTACTCTCCGGACGAAGAATAATCGAAAACGGACGTTCGCTGACTTGAACTTCCATAAGGTGGTACTTTTCCTGACATGTATATGTGTTTCTAGGAGTGCAGAAGGACGACGTTGTGCTTTTTGCGGGTTACTTAGGAACAGTACCACAAATAATACAAAAAAGCGTTTCAAAGACAGAGGCGTTAAGCAAACCAAGATAGGTCCATTCAATATGACCGGAGTGACCATACCAGTTCTAGCATTCATCGACTAAGAGAACTGCATCAAGTTGTAGTGAAGCGAACTCAGTCGATGCATGTCTTGTCCGCTCTGGAATGCTCTTCCGAAACTATATTCCCTTGTGTGTTTATGGGATGTTTGTTCTTAAAACAATGTCTCCGTTTTGAACTTTGATCATCTATATTTATTTTCAGTCAAATCGGGGCAGGCGTATACACGAACAACTGAAAGAACTTATAAACATTTACGGATTAAAAAACTACAATATTTTGTAGGCCTCGTTTCTAAATGGCTTACTAATTAACAAGTAACGAAGCAAAAAGCTCCATGTCAGATATTTGGAATTTCATCTGACAAAAGCCTCTGTTCTTTTTAATTTCCATATGAGAATATAACTATAGATGTATAAATGTTGGTTTTATCATATCTGCTACGTACGCTTTATGACAATGGCGCCGCTTTGCGCGTTTCAAAAACAGATCCTCCAAATTACGAACGCGGTTTATGAGCGATTGACCAAAGGAATTTAAATACGTTATTGAACTGTAGCTCGATAGGTCGCATGTGTAGGCTGCAAAAGAAGTCAGCATCTGCACTCGACGAACAGTCTAGTGCAGAATTGTCATTTGCTTGACAAATATGTTTATATTTACCCTAAACGTTGGCCAAGTAGACAAACAGCACACCGAATGAGGTAATCTTCATATAAATTCAGTGATTCCGCTCGTCATTTTCGTTGTACTCACCACCTATGGGCAAACTAACAACGAAAGCTGCATGAAGCATGCTCTTCTGCACGTTCATATTCAGTTCCCCCGTCACTTTAATTTGAGGTTTTATGTTGTCTCAGCAGGACATTTGCCTATGACGCCTTCTCTGGCAGTGCGCAACAATTAAATCTGCCTACCGAAAGAGAATAAGTAGCAAGCATGCATACATTATTGCTAATGAGTGGGCGATCACACTTCAGTCTTCCCACCAGATGTGCGTAGTTCGGAGAGGTTTGCAGATGTAACAAAGGTTTTAAGTAGCCTTTTTGTCCTCTTTGCCTAGTCACACATGGCCTGTTTTAATCGGTTTATGCGTCTGTCCTGGTGCCTCGAATTCGTCGCCCCTCGACTGTCACATGGCACTGAATATCACCGGTTAATCACCCTAGGCGGACAACCACAGAACCAATATCAGGACAACCAAGTGTCCCATAAATGTGTGTTCTTGGGTACAGCAAGGGAAGCACAAGTATCAGCAACAGACTTCTGGTGCGGAACATCAAAAATGAAGGTATGTACTATCACCCACCACAGGCGATCTCGCGCGTCAATTCAGTGCGGTTAGGGTCCTGTTTATGAACAGTGTTATGAGGGTTAGCTTAATGTCGGGGTTACGGTTAAGGTTAAGACACTCAGTACTATAGTTTGCCATTTTAGCTAGGACGTTTGACGGTAGGGTTAGGATTAATTTGGCTACTCCGCACGGAATATCGCGCACGGCTTGGGGGGTCCTTATACTCGTGTCCAAGAAGAGAGAAGATAAACAGGAGGGGAAGGGGCTGAGAAGAGAGCGCATAACATGAAATTTGACCAATCAGCAGCAGCATAGTGCAGAAAACGATGAAAATGTCAAAAAATCGAGTTATTATGCAGGAAACTAGAATGTCTAGGGAAAAGAGTGAATAGACAGTAACGGTCGGAATATTAGGAGATGGTGAGTTATTAGGGCGCTGCAAGGATTTGAAGTAGACAGAGATGGAAGTAAGAGCCTGCATTCAATGACATACCGAGCGACTGAGAAAGAAAGCATTTATAGAATTGTAGAAGATATTGTGAAAGAAGGGTGTAAATCTACAATTGGACGACTTTTCTAGCAGCTAACCATCAGGAGCCTTTAAATGGAACGTCCGCAGAACGTAGAAAAAACTACCGACAGTTAGCTGAAAAATAAAACCATCTGGACATCGGCCCTATTATGCGAGGTAAGCAATAAAGATACCGTGGACGAAGAGACACACCGTCCAGAAATTTGGGACAGTTTGGTTTAAAACACGTTGCAATATGATCAGATTAGCAGCATGTGATCACCGGTCTAAGAGATGCACCTGGATGTGAAGCCTCCTGCAGAAGCGAGCGTAGGCAGCCGTTTGGCTAGGCATGATGTTTTCGCCGTAAGTCACACTTTGCCTAATTTACGCCGGAGGATGTGAAAGGCACGCTGGCTGTTTTGCTCCCAGTGCAAGGGGGACAAAACATATCGTTTCCTCCACAAAAGACCACGTTCTCGGTGAATTTTGAATTAAAAATA